GGCCTGAAGGGCCAGGGAGGGCGGGTAGACCAGGGGATCAGGAGCAAGTCTGGCCTCGGAGCGTTCATTTTCGGCTCGACGCGCTCAGCGTCGAATGTCACGCGCGGGAGGGGGGGGGGGCCCTGTCTCGATGCCGGCTGTCGCCTTCCTTTGCTGCCTCCTCCTGGCCTCCTCCTCCTGCTCCTCCTCCTCCTCGAGCACCGCCTCGAGCCCCCCCTCCCACTCCTCCCACTCCTCCTCCTCCTCCTGCTCCTCCTCCTCCTCCTCCTCATCCTCCTTCTTGGTTCTGATCCTCCTCCTTCTTGGTTCCGTCTTGCCCCTCCTGGGGCTCTCCTAAGACCTGAGGTCCACCGCGCGGCGCCCTCGGCCACGGCGCCCGCGCCCACGGTCGCGGCGCCCTCGTCGCCCACCTCAGGAGGAAGTGGGATGGGGGCCAGGAGGAGGAGGAAGAGGAAGACTGGATGAGAGGGGGAGGAGGCGGATGCGGAGGAGGAGGAAGAGGATGAGAAAGAGGGACGAGGGACAGGAGGATGAGGAGGAGAAAGAGGAGGAGGAGGAGGAGGAGGAGGAGGAGGAGGAGGAGGAGGAGGAGGAGGAGGAGGAGGAGGGGGAAGAGGAGGAGGAGGAGGAGGAGGAGTTGAGGAGAGATCCGAGGAGGCTCGAAGCAGGAGGCAAGAGCATAATCAGGAGGAGATCGAGGGACATGTGAGACGTGGAGGAAGGGCAAGATGATGAGGAGGGCACCCGCAGACGGAAGCAACGTAGTCGTCGCGGAAGCCGGAGCACATCTGCTTGTCGACCGTGCGGGCCTCCTCGATCTTCTTCTTCAGGGACTTGCGGGACGGTGCTTAAGACCGCTCGGGGGCCTCCAGTTCGGGAAACAGCGGCATCCAGGACCCTTCGGTGGGAAACCTCATCCTCGTCCTCGTCCTCATCCTCCTCGTCTTCCTCATCCCCCTCACCCTCCCTCTCCTCCTTCCCCTCCCTCTCCTCCTCCTAATCCTCATCCTCCTCCCACCTCCTCCCTCCTTCCTTCCTCCTCCTCCTCCTCCCCCTCCTCCTCCTCCTCCCTCACCTCGCCTCATCCCCCTGCTTCGCCTCCTTCTCCTTCCCTCCTGCCCCCTCCTCCTCCTCCTCCTCCTTCCTCCTCCTCCCCCTCCTTCCTCTTCGACCCTCCTCTGCCTCATGTTTGCCCGCTGGGGCCATCATGCAGATGAGCGGCTTATTGGCCAGCGCCTCGGGATCCCCGCCGCCGCCGTCGTCGTCCCAGGTGTTGTCGGTCACGGGGGCCAGCTGAAGCGCCTTCCCCGTGGGAAGCTTCTTGTAGTACAGGCGCGAGATTGCTTCGGAGGACCTCCTGGGAGGATGGGGGGGAATCATGCGGAGGAAGGAGGGCCAGTGGGTTCATGGAGACGACGCGGGGGGAAGGGAGGGATGGGGGGAACTTGGAGGAGGAGGATGAGGAGGATGAGGAGGGGGAGGAGGAGTGAGAGGGTTGAGAAGGAGACGGGGAAGGAGAAGGAGGACGAGGAGGAGGAGAAATACGAGGGGGATGGAGGAGGAGGAGAGGAGGATGAAGGAAGATAACGGGGAAGGGTGAGGAGGAGCACGCATGATAATGGTTGGTGCAGCTCCGCCTGTAAGTGATCATGTAGTCGGCGCCAGCGCCGTTCCCCACCGCGGCTGCGAAGCTGACGGGCTTGCGGAGGCCTGCGCTGTGTTCCCCCCTCCTGGCCTCCAGTCCCCTCCTCTTCCTCCTCCTCCTTCTCCTCCTCCTCTTTCTCTCCTTCTCATCCTCCCTCTCCTCCTCCTCCTCCCCCTCCTCCTCCTCCTCCTCCTCCTCCTCCTCCTCTATTTCCCCTCCTTCTCCTCCTCCTCCTCCTCTCCCTCCTCCCCCTCCTTCGCCTCCCACTTCAGTCATTGTCTTCACCTCCTTGATCTTTCTCATCATCCTTCGTGCTGCTTCCAACTGATCCCGCGCCTGCGTCGTCATCGGGCCCCTCCTCCTGCTGGCCGCCGCCCTCGAGCTCCTTGACGCCAGGCTCCTCCTGCTGGTCGCCGCCCTCGAGATCCTCAGGCTCCTCCTGCTGGCCGCCGTCGTCGATGACGATCTCGTCCTCAGGCTCCTCCTGATGGCAGCCGTCCTCGATGCCGATCTCGTCAGGCTCCTCCTGCTGGCCGCCGTCCTCGATGCCGACCTCTTCCTCGGGCCCCTCCTGCTGGCCGCCGTCCATGGTGCCCTCGTCCTCAGGCTCCTCCTGCTGGCCGCCGTCCTCGATGCCGACCTCGGGCCCCTTGCCGCCGTCCTCGATGCCGACCTCATCGGGCTCCTTGCCGCCGTCCTCGATGCCGACCTCCGCGGGCTCCGTCGCCGCCGCGGCCGCGCCCTTCTTCTTTGCCGTTGGGGGGGAGCAGGGGGGGAAGACGATGAAGGAGGAATGAGGAGGGCTCGGAGGAGACGAGAGCAGGACGGAGGAGGAGAGGAGGATGAAGGAGGAGGGGGGGCATGAGAAGAGGAGAAGGAGCGAGTGGCGGACCGAATGGGCGTCCACCTGCCGGCCTCCGGGGGGGGGGGGGGGGGCGACGTGCTGCGGCGGCCTACCGCGCGTTCGCCCCCGAGCTCTCTCTGAGGACTGTTGCAGCTGGCGGCCGCGCGGCAGACGACCACGCGTACCCACTTGCCAGTCTCCAGGAGGGGGGGGGGGGGGGGGGGGCGACGTGCTGCGGCGGACGACCGCGCGCCCCCCCTCTGAAGACTGCTGCAGCCGACGGCCGCACTTCCCGCGACGCACTCCTGAGGCTCCACATTGTGAGGGGCGTCTCTAAGCGCGGGCGCGCCCTCTGCAGCGTTCCCGACTGTCGCCGGGGTCCTGTGCCCAGGTGGCGGCGCTGTCGAGCGCCTTGCCGGCCTCCGCCGCGCTGCTGCCCCGGGGGCGCAGATGGGAGTGAAGGGCCGAGGGGGTGCCCGCCGGTTCTGTCGCACTGTCGGTTTGTTGCGCTACCAAAGGACAGTTGCAGCTGAAGGCTGCACTTTCGGAAACAAAGTCCTGACTGACACAGCTGCGAGGAGCGCCGCCGAGCGCGGGCTCGCCCTCTGCAGCGCCCCGGGCGCCCCCAACCATCGCCGCGATGCTGTCTCGAGGAGGTGGCGCGCTTTCGAGCGCATTTCCGGCCTCCGCCGCGAACCTGCCCCAGGGGCGCTGAAGGGGGTGAGGGGCGCTATGGGGGCCCGCCAGCCGGTCTCCGAGAGGGGGGGGGGGCCGGCGCGCAGTGGCGAACGACCGCCTGATCAGTCTCGAGCCCTCCCAAACGACTTTTGCAGCTGCAGGCCGCGCTATGCGTTTGAATTGGGAGGGCCGTCTCCGAGAGCGGGCGGCTCTCTGCAGCGCCCCGGTTATCGCCGCGGCGCTGTCCCCAGGAGGGAGCGCGCTTTCGACGGCAATTCTGGTTCCTCCGCGAACCGGCCCCAGGGGCGCAGATAAAAGTGAGGAGTACTATGGGGGTCCGCATGCCGGTCTCCAGGGGGAGGAGAAGTAGGTGCGCGGTGGCTGACAACCGCGTGCTCGGTCTGCGGCGCCCCCAGAAGACCGTTGCAGCTGAAGGCTGCACTTGCGGAAACAAACCCGTGGCTGCCAGAATTGTGAAAAACGTCTCCGAGCGCGGGCGCGCCCTCAGCGGCGGCCCCAATTGTCGCCGTGGCAATATTTCCAGGAGGGGGCGCGCTTCGGGTCGCATCTGCAGCCCCCGCGCCGACGCTGCCTCAATGGCGCTGATTGGTGCGAGGAGCAACCAAGAGGACGATCCGCCTATGCGAGGAGGGGGAGGGACCGGCACGCTGTGGCAGACAACCACATGTTCAGTCTGAAGCTCTCCCAGAGGACTGTTGCAGCTGAAGGCCGCACTTTCGGAAGCGAGCTCCTGGCTGTCTATTTTGCGAGGAACGTCTCCGAGCGCGGGCGCGCCCTCTGCAGCGCTGCCAACTATCGCCGCGATGCTGTCTCCAGGAGGGGGCGCTGTCGAACGCCTTTCAGGCGCCCGCCGCACTGCTGCCCCAAGGGCGCTGACAGGGTTAAGGGACCAAGGAAGTCTCCGCCTGTCCTGTCGCACTGCCAGACCTGTCCGCATAATTTCGTGCCCGCCAGGATTGCTAGGATACGACGAGACACGACGTGTCTGCCAGGGGTGCCAGGGCAACGACAAACGGTCGCACTCTTGGTGTGTTTCGAAGAGCACCGAACTGGGGCACCCCCTCCTGCACGACAAAGGTCGCACATCCACAGTGAAAGGAAGGAGCCTACGATGGTGTCAGAAAGGCGGCAGAGGGCCGCGATCACTGGAGAATCGGAAATCCCGGCGCCCGCCGGCACCCGCGGCGCCCGCGGCACCCGCAGCGCCCGCGGCGCCCACGGCGCTGGCGGCGCTGGCGGCGCTGGCGGCGCAGGCGGCGCCCGCGGCGCCCGCGACGCCGCTGCGCCCGCGGCGCCCGCGGCGCCCACGGCGCCCGCGGCGCCCGCGGCGCGGGCGGCGCGGCGGCGCCCGCGGCACCCGCAGCGCCCGCCTGCGGCGCCCGCGGCGCAGGCGGTGCCAACAGCGCCCGTGGTCCCGCGGCGCCGGCGGCGCCGGTGGTGGCGCCCGCAGCGCACGCTGCGCCGCGGCGCCTGCGCCCGCGGCGCCCGCGGCGCCCGCAGCGCCCACGGCGCTGGCGGCGAAAGCGGCGCTGGCGGCGCCAGCATCGCACGCTGCGCCCGCGGCGCCCGCGGCGCCCGCGGCGCCCACGGCGCCCGCGGCGCCCGTGGCGCGCACGACGCGCGCGGCGCCCGAGGCACCCGCGAAACCCGCGGCGCAGGCGGCGCCCGCGGCGCCCGCGGCGCCTGCGGCGCCCGCCGCACCCGCGGCGCCGGCGGTGCCAGCGGCGCACGTGGCGCCCACGGCACGTGCGGCGCCCGCGGCGCAGGCGGCGCCCGCGACGCCCGCGGCGTCCGTGGCGCCAGCAGCACTTGCGGCGCTGGCGGCGGAGGCGGCCTCTCACGCCGCAGCCGCCGCCGCGACGCGGACCTCCATCCCACGGGCCGGGGCGCGCACCTGAGACAGGGGCGGGCTCGAGCCCGCGCGCCTTGAGCCAGGCTGCGGCGCTGGTGGGGATATTTTTTTGGGTCGCGGCCACGAGCGAAGAGCACACGCGGCGAAAGCAATTGTCCGGGGCAGCGAACAAGGCTGATTAGCTACAAGACGCGCCGCAAGCCGGCCGGCCCACTCACCAAGAAGCCGCGGGGCTGCGCGGGAGGCTGACGGCAGGGGGCATCCTGGGAAACTCGGGCACGTGCAGTCTGACAAAATGTCGAGAAATTCGCTGCATGCCGTGAGGCATAACCCACACAGCGACATGACGTGCACAGGGGCCGACGTGTCCGTCATACTGGGTGGGGGCAGGCGCGAAGACCGATGAACGAGTCGCCAGTGGGGCGCCAGGCCCAAGCCGTCCCAACGACGTGTGGTGGCTGGGGGAGCTGAGCTGCCGAGGAACGTCGCAAACCTGCCGGAAGAGGGGGATGAGTCCAGGGTGCTGTTGCGGCTGCGGAAGGCAAAACCACTCTGGCGCGGTCACAATACCCGGAAGTCCATCAGTCAATGCACGCGGTAGGCCCGGACGACCGCGGGCCGGCCCTGTCAACAACGGCGCAGCGCCGGCGCCAGATGGACTATAGGAGAAAGCCAGGCGTGAGCATCGCCAGCGAGGCAGGGGGATCCAGGGGGGTGCTGCACAGGGGGCGCGGCAGCTGCCGCCTGAAGTACGCCGAAGGCCACCGAGGGACGGCCCTATCCTCCAAGTACACGAAGTTGGCTGTAGCTCCAGGGGCGGTGTGTGGCGAGTGGCCAAGCTAATGGGAAAGCCATTGCTAGCAGGGTGGGGCGACCTGGGTGAAACTGCGCTGTCGCAGCCGCGCGGGGCCGGAGGCCACCGTGGGCCGACCTTGTCCGCCACTTCCGCCCTACCCCGCGGGAGTCTAGGGTCGCCGTCAATCACACACCGCGTGGGCCTCCAGGGTCGCAGCTAACCGCTACTGAAAGTGAGGGAACTTACGACGGACAGCGGGGGTCCAGGGCGGCCCTGGGGAGGGGGGGCGGAGCCATCGATGCCAGTCGGCACGCCTGGCGAAGCCCCGCCAGTAGAAGGCCCGGAGGGAAGGGGGGCGGGGAGACGCGACCGACCAGCTGGTGGGGGTACTTTTTTTTGGGCGCGGCCGCGAGACAAGGGTCAGGCGGCAAAGGCGCTGGTGGGGATACGCGAAGCGTCAAGAATTTGCCCATGTTGCCAACGCTGTTCCACTATGAGTGTCTCTGCTTTCCTTCTTCCTTCAGCTCTCCTCCACCTCGACTACTCTCGGGGCGCCAGGCCAAACTACGGGCTGCTAATAATGATTACAACAATTCGGCCAGATAGTGCCGCCAGCAAGGCAATGCTCAGGAAACAAACGCCAAACTTGCAAGCATGGTCTTCAGTCATTCGCACAAATGGAATTCCGCCGACCGACAATGAAACACGAAGGAATTCTGACCATATTGCCTCACCTAGCTCAATGAAACAACACAGGAAGCCTGACCATATTGTCAGAATGATCGCCACCACCTCTAAATAAAACGGCAACGCTGGCGCCCACTCCCAGGCACCCGACATTTTCTTGTCACCGAGCGCCTCATCGCACTTCAAGAAAGCCAGAGCGAGGGCTAGGGCCAGAAGCTCCCACACTAAAGTAGCACGGCAAAACAGCCCACCTAACGCGGCAGATTCTTCGGCCTGTGAGGCAGTGGCTCGGCCGAGAGTTGAGCCCTCCGTTACGGCCTCCGTCACCATGAGACAGACAACAATACAGGTATTGCCGACCGCACCGATGAGAGGAATGGCAAAGAACCACGTCGTCCAATAACCGTGCGCGTCATCGGAACACCCCTCGTGCTTGTACAGGTGGGGCCCCGCGAGCCAATCTCTGTTTTCTAAGCACAGAGGCGACTCGATTATATTATACAGAAAAAAACACCCCAACGCAATAAGCGCCGAGCCGAGAAAGGAACCTTCATGAGCTGATGGGAACGGGGCCGAGCGTGCCCCCTTTCCACCCAAAGCGAATGCTAATGCTGTGCACAACATTGCTACCATGACGAACACTGGTGCAATTTCTGACGACATCCGTAGTACGTTGGTGCCTTCGCCATTCGCAAGTTGCGTGCTGATGTTGGGGACGACATGACCATTAATCTTAGGCTTGCTGCAAGCGGCAACGTACATAAAAGGCGCAAGACATAATGATCAGAGCGATCATCCGCAGTATGATGGTGGAGAGCCACAAATTGTTGGTTACGGCTACGCGACTTGGATTCGATGCTCGATTACGCTCTTCCATCTCCTCAGTTCGAACAGGCAGGTAACGCGTGGTCATGAGCGCGCGCGCGGGCGCCTGCAAGCGACTGGGGGCGCCTCGAAGCCAAAAGGCTGAAGCCCAACTCGCATGAGCCAATAAACAAAACGGAGGCTCTCTTGGGAAGTCTTGGGGCCCTATTGGGTGTTGTTGGGGCCCTCCTGAGCCGTCTTGGGACGATCTCTGGAAACTCTTGGGCCGTCTTGGACGCTGCTAGGTCAAAATAACGACTCTGCTAAAAATGCACGTTGTGATTTGTTCCTCTTGGGGGGCCTCTTGAGCGCCTCTTGGAGCGTCTGGAGACCATCTATGTCCCTCTTGGAACGCTATTGTGCTGCATAGAGGGCTCTCTCGGGCTTCGCCGACCATCCCTCTGATCGTGTTGGGTCTGCTGGCACGGCCCGGCAAGACGCCCTGGGAGGCCCGGAAGGGCCGGGGGAACCTCTTCCAAGGGCGTCCCAGACGGCCCAAGACCCCAGATCCCATGGTCAATGTTTGTTGTTTGTTGGGGGGACGGCGTTTTCCGCCCTCCCCGGCTTGTAATGATACAAGAGAACTGCAGACAATAACAATCACACGCAAACAACTGCGATATTGACAAGGGGGTGACACATACACGTGAAGATTTATGTATGTAGATAACGAGAGACAGAGATATGGAGGGAGATGGGTACATATATATATATATATATATATATATATATATATATATATATATATATATATATATATATATATATATATGTATACATATGGAAAGAATGAGGTGGTGGCGATCGCTGGCTTGGCTGACGTGCTATTACTTGAAATTCACGATCAGCGGTCGTGTAGAATACATCCACCAACCCCCTTGGGGGGCCAACGGGCTGCGACGGTGTTCTGTTCCCTGCAGCAGTTTCAATTCCCCTCGACGTGTGGTTGTAGATTTCCTATGCTTCAATGCTGTTAGATTGATATCCGCGCGGAGACTCCAGCCCGAAGCCCCCCTGCATTACCACGCGAAAAATCTTCCTTCACCCCTCCCCCTCTCCGGCGTGCTTGCCTTGGCTTCTACTTCATCATCCACCGCCGTCACTTTGCTGCATGCCCCTGCCTTTTGCTGCTTGGAATTTTTGGCTCGTGCCGGGTTGCCTCGAGGTTATCAGTATGCACACGTCCCCACACATAATGGTGAATTCACACAGACAGTCGTCCGTCTTTGCTGTTCCACTTCAGCACCTCGTCGGGGGGACACGTGTGTGTGTGTGTGTGCGTGTGTGCGCGTGTGCTAGAGACGCTCGTTACATGAACCTGTTCCTCCTTTTTGAATGTTTCAACACGTCAACAGTAGCCGGGCACTGTGAAGCAACTGGCGTCGTAGCTCCCAGTCTCATATCTCCAAACATACACGGATGATCTGTCAATCAACGCTTGCAAGCTTCCTTGGAACACTGAGAGCTGGGACAACAGCTGAGAGGAGGGAGCATGCATGCTGGGAGCCCAGTCAGCTCGGGTGCTGCATGATGGCTTGGATGCTATACTTCCCATGACCCCCGCAGTTGCGGATAAGAGCGAGGGTCCGGGAGGGTGTCGTCGGTTATCTGCATGGCTCGAGTTTAACTTTGAGGATGCCCGCCGCAGGCGCTAAATCTTATTGCGCCTTACACCACAAGCCTGTCGCAGGTGCCGATTCTCATCTTCGAGAGAGCGCGCTGAACGGGCGGTTGCCCTGGGAACATTCCGCGGCGCGTTTCGAACCGGGGGGTGGGCCCCCCACCAACACTCGGCGCCGTCAATCAGAACCAGGGGGACCCCACTCCCCCCTAACCCCCCCCTTCCCGAATCCCCGCCCCCACAAGAGGAGTGGGGGGGGTGAAATCCCCTCCCCCTGGCGCTGGCGCCGGCGCTGGCGGCCGCCAGCAACGCCGACGGCGGGGACGCAGCGGCGAAGACCAGAGAGGGCCCAGAGGCTGCAGAGGGAACGCACAAATCGCCATATCGAGCCCTCGCCCCCCAGAAGCAACCGAGAGGCCCTTAGGAAGGTCCACGAGGCTTCCCACATGCTCTCCAGACGCCCCCGAGACCCTTCTGACGATACCTCAAGAGGCATCCATTAGAACTCAGACCCAAAGCCAAAACACGGTGGCGGGAAGAGCCGAAGGCCACACCACCACCACCACCACTACAAACCAGAACACCACCAGCACCACCACCAAAACCACCACAACCCACCACCACCGCAACCACCACCATCACAACAAACTTCCACACAACCACCACCTAAAACGCCACCACCACCAGCACCACCACAACCCACCACAACCCACCACAACCACCCTACCACTAACAACCGTCACACCATTACCAACACCATCACCACCACCGCCACCACCACAACCATCACCACAACCCAGCACCACCACCACCAAAACCACCACACCACCACCACCACCACCACCCACCACCCACCACCCACCACCCACCACCCACCACCACCACCAGCACCGCCGCCAGCAGCACCACCACCACAAACCACCACGCCACCACCACCACCACCGCCACCGCCACCACCACCACCACCTCAACCCACCATCACCACCACCATCACTACCACATCCGCCAACACCACCACAACAACTCACCACCACCACAACCACCACCACAACAACCCACCACCACCACCACCACAATCTACCACACCACCACGCCACCACCGCCACAACCACCACCACGACAACTCACCACACCACCACCGCCACAAAACACCACACCACCACCACCGCCACCACCAACACCAGCACCACCACAAACCACCACACCACAACCACCACCACCGCCACCACCACCACCACTACCACAACGACCCACCACCACCACAAACCACCACCACACCCCCACCAAACCACCACCACCACAACCACCACAACCCACCACTACAACCACTACGACCACAACAAACCACCACACCACCACCACCACAACCACTACACCCCACCACCACCACCACAAACCACCACACCACCACCACCACAACGACCACCACCACCACCAGCACCACCCACCACCGCCACAACAAACCACCACCACAATCACAACCACCACCCCTGCCACCGCCACCACAACCACAACCCACCACCACCACAACCACTACCACCACCACAACCACCACGACAAACCACCGCACCACCACCGCCATCACCACCACCGCCTTAACCCACCACCGCCACAACTACTATCACCACCACCTCCTCCACCAGAAACCACCGCCTCCACCACCACCGCCGACACCGCCACCACCACCACAACCTGCCACAACAACCACCACAACAACCACCGCCGCCACCACCAACAGCCATGGGCCACGAAGCGCTGTACTGGGTGGTGGGTGGCGCATGCGGGCGGTCCCACACGGGCCTTCGGTGGAGCTCCCTATGGGGCCACGAAGCGCTGTGCTGGGTGGTGGATGACGCATGCGGGCGGTCCCACTGGGGCCTTCGGTGGAACCCCCTATGGGGCCACGAAGCGCTGTACTGGGTGGTGGATGACGCATGCGGGCGGTCCCACTGGAGCCTTCGGTGGAGCTCTCTATGGGGACACGAAATGCTGTGCTGGGTGGAAGATGACGCATGCGGGCGGTCCCACTGGAGCCTTCGGTGAAACTCCCCATGGGGCCACGAAGCGCTGTACTGGGTGGTGGATGACGCATGCGGGCGGTCCCACAGGGGCCTCCGGTGGAGCTCCCTATGGGGCCACGAAGCGCTGTGCTGGGTGGTGGATGACGCATGCGGGCGGTCCCACTGGGGCCTTCGGTGGAGCCCCCTATGGGGCCACGAAGCGCTGTACTGGGTGGTGGGTGACGCATGCGGGCGGTCCCACTGGAGCCTTCGGTGGAGCTCTCTATCGGGACACGAAATGCTGTGCTGGGTGGTGGATGACGCATGCGGGCGGTCCCACTGGAGCCTTCGGTGGAGCTCCCCATTGGGCCACGAAACGCTGTGCTGGGTGGGTGAAACGCAAGGAGGAAGGAGGACGGGGAGGAGGGGGAGGAGGGAGGAAGGAAGGAGGAGGAAGGAAGGAAGGAAGGAAGGAAAGACGGAAGGAACGCGGGGACCGTCTCTTCAAAACGAGGACCCGACACCACAGGATGATTGGGAAAAACAACTCACGAGCTCTAGGAGAGACACTTCAACTGAAAGAACACCATGGGCATAGGATTATGATTCGACTATCATGTTCACATGGTTCGTAACAACGGCCAGACCCCGCACCGACGCCCACCTCGGAGCCACGCAGCCAGTGACAATGTAAGACCGTTCGGCCCCTCACTCGGATGATCGCACAGTCGGAGCGCAACACATCGTGGCCCTCAAATGTCCATTGCCGATCCTACGCTGCGACATTCTTTTATCCCTGAGGCCTCTAATCCTCCATAGAAGGGCTCAGACGAATGAGGCAATGATGATGAGGAGGATGAGCAGGAGGAGGTGAGAGTATGAGTTTAGGCTCGGTTAGGACAATCCTGGGGGGAAGGTACGCGAAAATCATGCCACACTGTGGGCGTGGTGCCCATCAGAATGGACCCGCGTCGCCACCGGAGAGTGATGACGGGCCTCTCCGTGACCGCAGCAGGGCGCCACGCCGAGACACCCCATGACCCCATACAATGTAGGATTGGGAGGGAAGGGGGGAGGGTGGGGACCAAGAGTGGACAAGGAGAGGAAACGAAAGAGACACAATGGGGTCAGGGCAGGAGACACCAAGCAGTGCGTGGCATCCGCGGCCCGTCGCCCCGCGCAGCCCTCTTCTTAAGCACTGACTGGCCTCCTGGGTTCGTACGGGCCCGCGCGTTCTCTGACAGAGCGTGCGCGTGTTAGGCCTACAGGTGGTCCCGGGGATGCCCCGCAGCACGAGAGGCCTACCACGTGGGACGGCCACATCAGTGTACAGCAAGGGCTCGACCACAAGAAACCTTCCACGAGAAACCCAACCCTGAGAACCCAGGGCGTCCACCGATCTTTGGTGTGGGCACGTCAGGCTTCCCATAGCAAAACCATCGAAACCCAGGAAACCCAGGGGGCCCTTGAGGCAAGCAAGGAGTTTCTTGGCATGGGTCCCCACTGTACATGCACTCTTTGCGGGGCAACAGCGAATCACCCGCTCGACATAAACGACCCCGCTTCCCCAGCAGGCCAAATGTAGTCGCCGCCGCTTCGACCAGCAACGCGACCATGGAGCCTGAACGTGGGTACGAAACGATTCAGACAAAACGACGCCGGGAAGAGGCCGCAGAGGAATGTGATGGTGATCGTGCAATCAACACACGCACATTCGCTTGCACCTGATGGCGTCCATCATCGTTGACGCGCTCAACAACAGCCTCGACGCATTCCACCTCTTGTCCCTTCTCCTCCTCCCCTCCTTCCTCCTCCTTCCTCCTTCTCCCTCCTTCTGCCTCCTCCATCCCTCCTTCCTTCTACTCGTCCCCTTCCCAGTCCTCCTTCTCAGCAATCTCGTCTTGATAGTAAACTCGCCCCCTTTCGGCGGGGTACTTTTAATTTCTCCTGAAGGCGGACCTGGCGAGGGTGTCAACACCGACGGGAGTCCAAGCGAGTCCATTGACAGGCCCCAGCCCCGAATGCCTCTGTCCACTTACTCCCCCTTCACCAACAGAGTACGGTTAAACGCAGGAGTGAGGAGGCAATGTAAGGAAGCAGCATCGTCGGACGCCCATGCTGGAGATCCTTTGATTTATTACTCCAGCCAGCATCCCATCGAGCAACCACTGGATGTTTTAGCCGCTTGCCCCAGCTCGACCATAAGCCAAACAAGGAGGATTACCTGATAGTGGTAAACGACGCTCTTGGGAGACGTAGGATGAATAGGAGGGGCGGTGAGCGACCCGAGGGAAGGAAAGAGGCGAGGAGAGGGGTCGGGGACGCACTGACCCGGTCCAGAAACAACGGGCCGCCTTGGACGCCCCCGTGGGCTCCCTGTGGGTTTTCTCAGCGGCCAAATTTCAAGTGTTTAGATATCGTTGTTCGCCCCGTATTCCTCTTTTGGTTTTGTCCGGCGTTGCCCGTGCGGGCTGTTGTCGGAGCCTCTGGATGCCTTCTCAGCTGGTGTTTGAAGGTTTTCGGCCCATCTAGGCCGCATTGGACCTTCATGTTCGTTGCTCTCTCCTTATGCCACTATGCCTCTCAAAGGCTGTTCGCGGTCATCACGCCTTGCCACGTTTGCATCAAAGCGACTACGTTCGAAAACAGGGGCGTTTAAATCAATAAACTACGGGGAGCCACTGATAACGACGATGATAACGACGGGTGTGGCATGAAAGCGGGCGGGTGGGACACTAAATGCAAATCTCGCACGTTGAAGGGACAAGGCTGGTCGTCGTGGTCGTCGTCGTCGTCGTCGTCGTCGTCGTCGTCGTCGTCGTCAGTGTCAGCGCCGTCGTCGTAGTCGTCACCCTCGTCAGTGTCATCGTCGTATTCGTCGTCTGTGTCGTCGTCGTGTTCATCATCGTCGGCGTCGTGCTCGTCTATGTTTGCTGGCACGCAGGGGGCGGGTTCTAATGCTCCCCCGACTTTCGAAGGGGGGGGAGGTTCAACCCCAACTCTCCACCTCTCGAGGGGGGGAGGTGAAAGAGCACTGGGGACTTTGGGGGGGCGGGTAGCGGTCAGGTGCAAGCGACACAGAATTCTCTCATTCGGACCTCTCGGCCCCTTGCAAGGGACAATTTTTCCATGCGGAATCGCTTCTGATAGTTTCTGTGATGGCCCCGAGCCCGAAAAGGGCATCCAGGCGCCGAACATACGTGGGAACATCAGCAAGTCTTGATGTTTCAAAACGCTGGAGGTCTGGGGGGTGCTCGGTGAACACTATGTACACACGCACACACGCTCTGTGTCGTGCGCATGTACGTTCACGCGTGTACGCGTGTAACGCGTAAGAGCACTTAGGTATGTGCATTACTTCCGGGATGTTCTGCTTAGCGTGTCGCGGCGGTGGCCCCAGCGACATGCCAGGCCTTGCGAGCGGATGGCGTGTCGCTCCGCTTCGCGGGGCGCGAGGCGGGGAACAGCTCGAGGCGCTGACGCTAAGGACTGGAGACATGGCTAGCGTGTCGCGCCGCAGCGTGAGGCCCCTCCGAGACATCCAGCGTCTCGATTTTTTCGAGACACGGGCCTCCGACCTCTCGACCGCTTACCTGGGACCGGCTTTTTCATCCCGAGTCGGTGTTTGACGGCCCCGAGGCCCGGTAAGAGCCCCGAGAGGACGAAACTGATGAAGCACCCTCGTCTCGATGTTCTAACGATGCCAGATGTCTGGGGTTCCCGACCGCGCGGCGCCTCCGGGGGGGAAGCGAGAAGGAGCAGGCCTTCTCAGAAGCCCTCCAACTTTCGGAGAAATTTCAGTGTCTTCGGAGAAGGCCTAGAGAACTCCTCACAAGGCCGGAAGCCTGCGCAGCCTTCTGAGAGGCCCGCCCCTTCTCGGACGCCTGGTGGTTTTCGGGTCATAGCTCGGCTATCCCGCAACCGTTCGGGACGATCCGGGCACCCCAGGAACGCCCTCGGCGAGGCGCAGCCGTTGAACGCACCCCGAGGCTGGAACACCGCCGAGAACCGACGACGACGCCCGAAAACCTCACACCCCGAACCCGAAACGCCCGAACTCCCCCTCCAATCGGGGATACGTAAGGCTCGGGTTCGGGGGATTCGGACTGTCCTGTCGGGGCCATCCTGAAAATGACGAAAACCAATCTGAAATCTGACGCGAGCTCCCGCTGCAAACATCCCACGAACCGTCAAACTGCAGGACGCGCTCCTCGAAAAGCGTCGGTAAACCCGAGTTCTGGCGTACCCGAGTCTTACGTTTCCCCGACCCGACCTCGCCGCCGATACACATCAATAATTATGTTGTTCCCATCGTACTTGATGACCACATCCCAGAAATCCGCCGGCCCCCTTGTGGGGCCACCAGGCTGTGGGCCGAAGCTTCGCAATTTCCTGTACCAGTTGCAGCTTCCAGTCTCCACTGTTACGGTTCTTTGCTTCTTGCTGCTTACTGTTCCTTGTTGATAGACCGTACGAGGGGGGGTCCCAAACGGGCAGGTTTAGCACGCCCTGAGCGTGTGCTCTGAATTGCTGAGGTGGGTAAAAATTTACACCCCTCACGCAGATCGGCGGGGTCAGGGTCCAAAAACACAGGGGTTTTGCAACATTTCTGAGATTCGGGAGCACCACTCACGCAGATCGGCGGGGACAGGGTCCAAAAACACATGGGATTTGACACATTTCTGAAACTTGCTGACACCCCTCACGCAGATCGGCGGGGTCAGGGTCCAAAAACAAATGGGATTTGCTACATTTCTGACATTCGGTGGCACCCCTCACGCAGATCGGCGGGGTCAGGGTGCAAAAACACAAAGGATTTGCATCATTTCTGAAATTCGTTGGCACCCCTCACGCAGATCGGCGGGGACAGGGTCCAAAAACATATGGGATTTGCTACATTTTTGAAATGCGGTGGCACCCCGCACGCAGATCGGCGGGGTCAGGGTCCAACAACACATGGGATTTGCTACATTTCTGAAATTCGATGGCACGCCTCATGCAGATTGGCGGGGTCAGGGTCCGAAAACATACGGGATTCTCAACATTTCTATTCGGTGGCACCCCTCACGCGGATCGACGGGGTCAGGGTCCAAAAACATAAGGAATTTGCCACATTTCTGAAATTCGGCGGCACCCCTCACGCAGATCCATAGGCTCAGGGTCCAAAAACACAGGGGATTTGCCACACTTCTGAAATTCGGTGGCACCCCTCACGCAGATCCGAGGGCAGGGTAGAAAAATTAGCCTGGCGAAGGACCCAACCATATGCAATTGTGAATACTGTTGCTGTGTGCTTCGCATTCGGAGGAGCTCCCTTCTAGGGCCACGAAACGTGTGAGGGGTGTGCCAAAAGTTGTCCGGTGGGAGCATGCGAAACCAGCCCTTGGGGCCGTCGGTAGAATTCCTTATGAGGCCACGAAGCGCGTGAGAGGTGTGCCGAAATAGGTGCGGTGGGCGCATGCGAACGCAGCCACTGGGGCCGTCGGTGGAGCTCCCTATGGGGCCGCGAACGGTGATGGGTGTGCCGAAATGGGTGCGATGGGCGCATGTGAACGCAGCCACTGGCGCCGTCGGTGGAGCTCCCTATGGGGCCACGAAACACGTGATGGGTGTGCCGGAATGTGCGTGGGTGACGCATGCGGGCGGTGGCACTGGGGCCTTCGTTGGAGCTTCTAATGGGACCACGAAACGTGGGAGGGGTGTGACAACATGGGTGTGGGTGGCGCATGCGGGCGGTGGCACTGGCGCCTTCGGTGGAGCTCCCTATGGGGCCACGAACAAGTGAGGGGGGGGCCGAAATAGGGCGGCGCCGCCATGCGAACTGCGCCATGGGGCCCTTAGGTGGAGCTCCGTATGGGGCCACGCAACGTGTGAGAGGAGTGCCAAACTTAGGCGGCGCCGCCATGCGCAGCTTGCCACTGGGACCGTAGGTGGAGCTCTCTATATGTGCCCACGAAACGCGGGAAGGGTGTGACGAAAGGGGGCGGCGCCGCCATGCGAACTGCGCCATGGGGCCCTTAGGTGGACCTCCCTATGGGGCCCCGAAACGTGTGAGAGGAGTGCCGAAATGGGGCGGCGCCGCCATGCGAACTGCACCACTGGGACCTTAGATGGAGCTCCCTATGGGGCCACGAACCGTGTGAGGGGTGCGCCAAAATGGGGCGGCGCCGCCATGCGAACTGCACCACTGGGACCTTAGATGGAGCTCCCTATGGGGCCACGAACCGTGTGAGGGGTGCGCCAGAATGGGGCGGCGCCGCCATGCGAACTGCACCACTGGGACCTTGGGGGGGATTCGTATGGGGGCACGAGCCGTGTGAGGGGTGCGCCAAATTGAGGGTGACGAGAGGAGAGAGGAGGGGGAAGGAGGAGGGAGGAGGGGGGTGAGGAGAGGAGGAGGAGGAGGTGGAGGAGGAGGAGGAGGAGGAGGAGGAGGAGGAGGAGGAGTGAGACGCGGGGCGCTGTCTCTTCAAAACGAGGACCCAACACCACAGGATGGTTGGGAACAAACAGGTCCCGACACTGCTTCACGGCGGCGCCCAGACCTCATGATTTAGCTTTTGCATCTCCCATTATCCGAGACAGGGGGCCGGCGGCATGGGGCGAAGCCCTTACGGATAATCTCGAGCACCCAGGAAATTATCGAAACAGTGTCTACGCGGCACGGTAGCAAAGTGTCGAACGAGTATCGCCTCCCAGGGCCCGACACGTGAAGACCCTCCAGCTTCGGTACTTTCTTGGCGCTCGAAAGTTTTTCTGGTGACCAAGGCTTAAGTAGAGGCCTGCTAGATGGGGTCCGAGTAGACGGGGTCGGAGGATCTCGCCGCATCGCCGATGCATCGGCGATGCACCACCGATGCATCGGCGATGCACCGCCGATGCATCGCCGACGTCGGCGATGCATCGGCGACGTCGACGTGAAGCAAATCAGGCTGCACACCGAGCCGCATCGGCGATACACGGGCGATGCGGAGGCGGCCCACCGACCCCCTACGCTCCGACCCCATCTGGGAGGCCTAGAATGCTTGGCGCCCGAAATTATTTCTGGTGGTCCAGGCTAAAAAACGTCCCGACGAAACAAAGACGGCTTACTTTTGACGCTCCGCGCAGATTCTTGGATCTAAAGTCCGCGCGGAGCACCACAAATTTCTGC